ATCGAGATATTCTGCGACGCTTTTCTCGATGCCAAATGTTTGTTGTCGTTCCTAATTTAGAGAACTCATTTGAAATCAAATCTCAATAAATGATTGGCATTTGTAACGGTATTGTTTTTTTGAGTATTTCAATGTCGTATTCCGTAGTTATATATTTTTCCGACAATACGAGCTGAACAATCAATAATAGGCTAGAAGAGCTAGTCAGGTGTATTGTCGCTATATTCATAGTCTGGCGGATAGAATTTCGATCTATCAAAAGGCGGAACCAATTCAATATATTGTAGACCAACAATTGAAAAGGTACTATCAACTTTTTAAAACAAAACGTTGATTATTCTTTCCTCACCTATCGAACACAAATCATCGGCATCACCGTATAGGGGAAACAACCCAAAGATGGTGTAACTTTACGTAGGCGAACCTTGGGTCAGGAGAAAAGGGTTTTCGAAGTTTTGTACGCAATAGCTGATGTGCTCTTTTCTGTTGTTGGTCATGATTTGCTCGATTGGTTCCGCTATTTGACAGCTCAGTTGGTTCCCGAGATTCTATCGGCCAGACTATGAATATAGCGGCTATAGTCGGGTGAGGTTATGTTTGATAGAGCTACTGCAGTGGTCATATCAACTAATTTCTATTAAAATGGGTTAAGTCTACCCTGTTATTAAATGTCAACATCTGAGTAACCGTTACCCAGTTTCTGTGGCAGGTACGTTTACCCAGATTTGGGTAGATTCAGTTTTGACCGATCTGGGTGGATTCTACCCAAATGTGGGTAATTTTGAAATAGCGTGTACAATGTATAGGGGTTACTCAAAATAATTAGGATAGGCAAATTTTTTGTCAACTTTGGAGTGTTGTAACTTCGTCAAATATGATCCGATTTTAAATCTTCTAAGAGCATTTGACTGGAAAACTAATATTGTTCTACGGTGTGGCCACGAAAATAATCCTGGTCACCGGATACCGGAGATATTCCGGGTTTTCGGAGGGCTTGTCTAACTTGCTAAATTTTTGGTGAAATTTTATATATGATGCTGGTTAAATATATATATTTTTAGTAGATACAACGAAAGAAGAACCATTTTTAAGCAAATCATATGCCAAGAACTAAAATCGGCCTAAATTCAACCGAGATATTCCCTGGAATCGGTTCTGGTGAAGGGTTCTGAATGCGGGCAGATATTTTAATCACTTAAAACATGCCGTGCGACAGCTCTTTCTTTATGGTTTCTCGTCAATAGACTTTCGATAAACTTTAAATGCATCATTGACCACATTGGCCACTCTCGGAACATCCAGTATGCCCCCGGGGGAACCTGGACCAGGGGAAAATTGCATGTTTACACCAAAACATGCCGTGCGACAGCTCATTCTTCATTGTTTTTCATGAATATGCTTTCCATAAACTTCAAATGAATTATTGACCACATTGGCCGCTCTTGGTATCACGGGATACCCCCGAGGGATCATGTAGCAGGGGTCAATTGCGTTTTTACACCAATACATGCCATGCGACAGCTTTTTCTGCAAGCTTTTTCATGAGTAGACTTTTGATAGACTTTAAATGGATTAGTGACCACATTGGCCGTTCTCGGGACCTCCGGTATGGCCCCGGGGGACCGGGAGCTGAGAACAATTGCAGTTTTACACCAAAACATGCCGTGCGACAGCTCATTCTTCATGGTTTTTCATGAATAGGCATTCATTAAACTTCAAATGGATCAGTGACCACATTGGCTGCTCTCGGAATCACGGGATTCCCCCCGGGGGAACCTGTAGTAGGGGGCAATTGCGTTTTAACTCAAAAACATGCCGTGCGATAGCTCTTTCTTCATGGATTTTCATGAATATGCTTTCTATAGACTTAAAGTGAATCATTGACCACATTGGCCGCTCTTAGAACCACTGGATACCCCGGGGGAACCTGTAGCAGAGGACAATTGCGTTTTTACACCAAAACATGCCGTGCGACAGCTCATTCTTCATGGTTTTTCATGAATAGGCATTCATTAAACTTCAAATGGATCAGTGACCACAAGAATATTCTTTTTATAGACTTAAAGTGAACCATTTACCACATTGACCGCTCTCGAAACCACTGGGATGCCCCGAGAGAACCTGTAGCAGGGGACAATTTCGTTTTATCTCAAAACCGTGCCGTGCGACAGCTTTTTCTTCATGGATTTACATGAATATTCTTTCTATAGACTTAAAGTGAATCATTGACCACATTGGCCACTCTCGGAACCACTGGATGCCCCCGGGGGAACCTGCAGCAGGGGAAAATTGCGTTTTTACTCAAAAACATGCCGTGCGACAGCTCTTTCTTCATGGATTTTCATGAATATACTTTCTATAGAATTGAAGTGGATCATTGACCACATTGACCTTTCCTGGGATGACCACATTGACTGGAATGCCCTGGGGGGAACCTGTAGTGCGGAACACGACGAGAACTTTACACACCTGCCATGGCCAGCACTTTGGTCGACGTTGTAAGCTCGGTTTCGAAGCGTTTTTCCTCCTCCATCGTCGTTGAAAACGCTTGTCCATCTTTTGATCCAAGAATGGTACAACATTCCACTAGAAGCCATCCAAAAACTTTATGAATAAATTCCCAGACGAATCCAAGCTGTTATTGAAGCAAATGGTGGTCCAAAATCATATTAGAGATGTTCCTACAATTTTAAATGCCATTCTTAATTTATAAATAATAATTCATTAATAATACATAGCTTTGCAAATAGCAAATAGCTTTGGAACCCAGATTGAAAGCGCAACTTTTCAAATAAGAATGGTTTATTCGCACTGTCACTATTGTTTATGTTTATTTTTAAATGCAGGAAATGGCACTAACTGATGGTTACTAGCGAGCATAAAAGCGCTGGCGAACATCTCCAGAGCTGACGTCGACAGTCATTTTGTTCATTAAAGAGTTGTTGTTGTGCTCTTGCTACACCTTACATTAATACAAGAGAGAGACTTTTATTGGCCTACAACCAGAGTTTAAAGACCTACTCTCCCTATCCGCTGCTAGTAGTCAATGATCAATTTCAAGACTTCAGATAGTTCGAGCTGTCGAACGGCATTGTGAAGTGAAAATACAATTTTCCTCTTACATGTTATCCTGGGGCATCTGCTGGTTTCAGAATGAGCTCCCCAATGGCATTGTTTTGTGTAAAAATGTGATTGCATCCTACTACAGGTTCCCCCCAGGGTATTACAGTGACTCCGGAAAGGTCAATGTGGTCAATGATCCACTTCAATTCTATAGGAAGCATATTCATGAAAATCCATGAAGAAAGAACTATCGCACGGCATGTTTTTGAGTTGAAACGCAATTGCCCCCTGCTACAGGTTTCCCCCAGGGGTATCCCGTGATTCCGAGTGCAGCCAATGTGGTCACTGATCCATTTGAAGTTTAATGAATGCCTATTCACGAAAAACCATGAAGAATGAGCTGTCGCACGGCATGTTTTGGTGTAAAAATGCAATTGTCCTCTGCTCCAGGTTCCCCTGGGGGCATACTGGATGTTCCGAGAGTGGCCAATGTGGTCAATGATGCATTTAAATTTATCGAAAGTCTACTGACGAGAAACCATGAAGAAAGAGCTGTCGCACGGCATGTTTTGAGTGATTAAAATATCTTCCCGCATTCAGAACCCTTCACCAGAACCGATTCCAGGGAAATGGCCATATCTCGGTTAAATTTAGGCCGATTTTATATTCGCTAAAGAAATGGTTCTTCTTTCGTTGTATCTACTAAAAATATATTTATTTAACCAGCATCATATATAAAATTTCACCAAAAATTTAGCAAGTTAGACAAGCCCTCCGGAAACCCGGAATATCTCCGGTATCCGGTGACCAGGATTATTTTCGTGGCTACAATATTAGTTTTACAGTCAAATGTTCTTGGAAGATTTAAAATCGGATCATATTTGACGAAGTTACAACACTCCAAAGTTGACCAAAAATTTGCTTATCCTAGTTATTTTGAGTAACCCCTGTACATATACCATACTAACTCATTATATAATAAAGATCAACTGGAGTAGGCCGAAGTGCTGTCATCAGAATCGTTAAAATAAATAGTGCAGAAGGGAACATTTGTTTTTCACACCTCTCGGATTTTCGACGTGTCTAGCGAGATTTGAATTCATCCAGGTTTTGGCTTCGTGTCCTGGCAGCAGTTACCTTCCCCTGACATTGCAAATTCGACACAAGCTTGAACATCGGAGCCGGTCCCTTCGGGGTGTTTTCTTACAGTACCCTATGAGATCCTACGAGGTTGGAACATGGGTGGAATTAGCTGTGGCTCACAAAATCATCACCACGGGTGCCACATTCGAAAGCAAGCGGTAAAAATCCGTTAGCTTTTTAAACCGGCGATGTCATTGTTGTTGCATTTTCCATTGCATTTAATGTGGTTATCATGAACTTTATCTGACCGCAGATTTATAATTTTCATTAGTAAAATTTGAAAATTAATGTATATTGAAAATGAAAACTTGATGACGTCACAAGAAACATGATAAGAGCTAGAAACACTGGAATAAGAGACCAGCGGAGACACTGTTATGATTCCAATCGAACTGTCAAAAGCGGTTCCAGTCTGCAATGTTTACAAATGGTTTGCTTCAATTAGGGAGGAGTATTGTGTCGTTTAACAGGAGTATTAAAATCGTTTAACAATCACTCATGAACTCGATCGTCGGTGCATTGGCGAAGTCACTCGCAAGCAGTTACAAATGCAAGTGATGCCAGGATTGCTTTGATGTTTATCTTGTTGCCAAATTCATGTTTTTTTTCTCCGCTGGTCTCTTATTCCAGTGTTTCTAATAAGAGCGGAGTAGCTAGCCTGGTATATGTAAGCCGCGAGAACACTTGTATATACACCTTGCTCCATACGACGAAATCATCATGCATCTCATCATCATTCACACGCTCGCACCGCACAAATCCTGAACATCCTCTCCCGTTTGTAATCGTCACAGGCTCAACACGTTCCGCCTGTGGATGCCCCAGCTGTTCACCATCATCGAAGAGTACGAAATGGATGCGGCCAGCTTGTACGGTTCCGCCCACGATGGTTCCCTCTGTGACATGTTGGCCTACAAAGTGAATAAATCGAATGCTCTACTCTTGAATGGTGCTGGGGCTGGTGGGGTGTCTTCGACCCCGCTCCAGAATATGGCCGGAGGCGGCGGCGGTGGCAGCGGAAGCTTTCTCATCGGTACGGACGACCCGAACGTGCTGGACATGAACAAAGTCATCCTATGCGAGGCGGTACGATGAATAGCTAATACGGTGCCTTCTTTAGATTGGTTCAGGGGATTTCCACCATTTGACTGGCAATCATCTTCTGAACCAGTCTGGCGGGTTGCTCTTTCTAATGCGAATGCACGATATAATTGCAGACAATCGAGGGAGACATGTATCTTAACTCATTAATCATCGGTTCCGTCGGTGTGTGTGCCTACATGGTGACCACTGTGTTGATTAATGCCATCGGCAATCGGAACATTCTCGGTAAGTATTCCACAGTCAATCTGAGAATCCTTGCACGCATCAAAGGAATAAGTAATTTGCATTTGAGAGGTCACGTCCGAGCAAAGTTACATGCAAGCTGGCGTACGGACGATGAGCAGTCACCGTAAGTGGAAGACCGTTTATCATTGTCACAAATCACAGAGTGTCCCTAATGGATGGAACCCTTTAAAATGCTCGATTCGTTTGCTTTGAACGGCAAGCGTTCGTTGTTAAACGCATTCCCGAGAATTCCTTTGAATGCTTGCAAAAAATGTTAAATTGAAAACTGTAAAACTCTTCCATCCATCTCCAAACAGTGTTCGGCTTACTCGCATCCGGAGCGACCGGTCTGCTGCTGTACTGGTCCAAAAGCTCGCTAGCCATACTGGCCCTGTCGTCGATTTACATCACCGCGGCTAGCCTGGGATCGACGGCTCTGGTGGGATCCGTCGTGGCCATATTCCCCACTTCGATGCGGTAAGACACTACACATTACATTTACAGCACACATACACACACTCTACCACTATTCTCATCGCTCTCATTTCCACCGCATAGAACCATGGTCGTTTCGCTGACAATGATGTTCGGCCGGACCGGATCCATCATCGGCAATCTGCTGTTTCCCTATCTAATGTCCCTCGGCTGTTGGCCGCCGTTTGTCATGATTGGCAGCGTACAGATCGGTAAGTTGGACTCGCCGTCATCGACGTCGTAACAACGCACACATCGCACTGCAGTGGAATTCCAAACGTAACCAGGAAAGCGAATTTGCCGCATGAAATAACGGGCTGCGGTGATGCGAACCGAATTCGCTTCTGGTTCGGGAAATGCGATGGATCGTGCACATGGCCGAAATTGGGGCAAATTTGCATTCTAAATGGCGTCATAATTTACCCTGCACATAATAGCCGAAATAATTTTAATTCAACTCATATTTCAATCAACAAAATAAGCGTTTCCAAACCAAACCATTAATATCGGTGTAAAGCAAACGTTTAATCCGGGTTATAAACAATCTGACCGAAGCAGTCGAAATATATTCGTACACGAATATGGATTTTAATCTAATTTTCGGCCCACTAAGCACAACCCGCAACTTTAAACTCTTTGTTGAACGAAACAAAGAATATTTCTATCAAAGAAGACGTACACTTAGATGTGATGAAGTCGCAAGTTGTTTAGATATTGTTACAAATCTAACACTGCTTCCTGTTTGCAAATTCGGCCTACGAGTTTCAATTTTCGTCCTAACGAGAAAAAGTGAATTCACTAGGAGCGCTTCTTTTGTTTTGAAAACAATGAGTGTAAATATTCATACAACGCGCTCTACCAGGCTTTGTGTTGTAGCTCACGAACAAATGCATTGGAACAAAACAATTATTATTGATTTTGATATTGAGTGAAATAATTGATATTATTGATGATTTCTGATCGATAGAACGATGCAATTACGACGAAGTAGTGCTCTACCCTATATACCAATGCTAATATGCTTTCACAAACCAAGCGCAACTTGTTCTTTATCACTTTTTTTTCGAATTTCAGCTTCCTTTGAGAAGTATTGCAATCATAAAAAAATGCAAAATCAATGTTACCTTAAATTCAAAAGTAAGCCATTTTGACAAAATTATAATTTTTTTTTTTTTTGATAAATGCTCAGCAAATTAATTTAAAAAAAATCCAAATTATTCCCCACTACGCCACCACAGCACACTATGCGATGAACCACCCCCTGGGGGAATGCAAAAACAGTGAACGAGACGGCACCACCACCGGCCCGCAGATAATTAGCCATGGTGCAGTTTTAATTGGTTCTTCCTCGTCCACTCATTCACTCACTTACTATGGTACCACTTATGTTCATCTTTCCATGCCTACTTCCTTTTTGCAGTTGTTGCACTGGCCGCACTAACCATTCCCAGGACACTGAGGAAACCACTGCAGTGAGCGGCTGTAAGCGCAGTAGCTTTATGCGGAGACAATTAGATCGACTGAATGATAGCTGAATGTAAAGGTGCCCAGCAGTGGCTGGGAGGATTTTAACGCAGGACAGGAGTTTAATCGAGTGAGAGTGATAAGTTTAATTTATTAAGGCCCATTATAGAAGCTAGCTTTTGTACAAAAATTGAATGCGAAGTTTGATTCAGAAAGAAATCCGTTTGAGAAATCGTTATCCATTGTTTAAATCTCAAGTTTCATTTTTTTTACGTAGAGTGTTTTACGAGAAGGTACTGGGGGTAAATAGGAAATCTAAAATTGCTACTGTCACGAAAAAGTGTAAGGTTTTGAACGCTTATAACATTGTCATTTATAGATGAAATTGAAATCCAAATACGCCAATCGATAGGAAATAACTCTCACAATCTGCTACAATAAATGCTTTTCCAATTTCCCACAAAAAAACCGTTGAAAATGTACAAATAAAAAGTGATAATTTAATCACTGTTTCCATGAAATAAACATTCTCCCCAAACCCAGTCGTCATAATCCAGTACCATTTGGTTGCACATCGTTCTGCTTGAATCTGAAAAGTTGGTGGTGTACCAGGAATCTGGTGTATACCAGCGCTGCTGTCATACCTCATCTCATCATCATTCACTGCCAGACTGTTGTGCAGTACAGCCGACGTTTTTCTCTCGCTCTCTTCGTTCGTTCGATTGCGTTGTTCAGTTTTATCTCGCGTTGAATAGAGACGCTCTCGCTGACCCATTACTTACCTTACCAATCAGGCTAAGGCCTGGTTGTCCTCTGCTGTCCGAAGAAGTCGTCTCCACTCTACTCGATCCATGGCCACAGTTCGCCATCCTCGTAGTCTGCGAAGGGTCTGCAGGTCACCTTCTACTTGGTCGATCCACCTTGCCCGCTGCGCGCCTCTTCTTCTTGTTCCTGTTGGGTCGCTTTCTAGAACCATTTTCACTGGGTCGTCGTGCGGCATTCTTACGACGTGCCCAGCCCACCGTAGTCGCCCAATTTTTGCAATGTGGACGATGGATGGTTCTCCCAGCAGCTGGTGCAATTCGTGGTTCATTCGCCTCCTCCACGTTCCGTCATCCATCTGCACTCCACCGTAGATGGTACGCAACACCTTCCGTTCGAAAACACCAAGGGCGCGTTGGTCCTTCACGAGTATAGTCCAGGTCTCGTGGCCGTAAAGGACCACCGGTCTAATCAGCGTCTTATAGACAGTCAACTTCGTGCGGCGGCGAATTTTATTCGACCGGAGCGTCCTCCGGAGTCCAAAGTAGGCACGATTCCCTGCCATAATGCGTCTTTGAATTTCTCTGCTGGTATCATTTTCGGCGGTCACCAGTGAGCCCAAATACACGAACTCATCGACCACCTCGATTTCGTCACCGTCAATCTGAACTCGGGGTGGGAGGCTAACATTGTCTTCCCTAGAACCTCTTGCTTTCATGTATTTTGTCTTTGATGCGTTGATGGCAAGTCCAATCCGTCTAGCTTCAGCCTTCAGTCTGATGTACGTTTCCGCCATCATCTCAAAGTTCCATGCCATAATGTCAATGTCAGCGGCGAAACCAAGGAGCTGGATGAACTTCCTGAATATCGTGCCACTCGTGTCTATCCCAGCTCTTCTGATCACACCTTCTAACGCGATGTTGAACAGCAGACACGAAAGTCCATCACCCTGCCGTAACCCCCTTCGAGATTCAAAGGGACTCGAGAGTGTCCCCAATACTCGAACAACGCACATCACTCGATCCATCGTCGCCTTGACCAATCGCGTCAATTTATCCGGAAATTCGATTGTGTCGTATGCGGATTTGAAATCGATGAACAAATGATGTGTGGGCACGTTGTATTCGCGGCATTTCTGCAGAACCTGCCGAATCGCGAAAATTTGGTCCGTGGTAGCGCGGGCACCCATGAATCCCGCCTGGTATTGCCCCACGAACTCTCTTGCATATGGTGACAGACGGCGGCATAGAATTTGGGAGAGTACCTTTTAGGCGGCGCTCAGCAGTGTGATCGCGCGGTAGTTGCAGCAATCCAACTTGTCGCCCTTTTTGTAGATTGGGCATACGACACCTTCCATCCACTCCTCCGGTAATATCTTCTCCTCCCAAATCTTGGCAATTACCCAGTGCAGCGCTCTAGCCAGTGCTTCACCACCGTAATTCAATAGCTCACTTGGTAGTTGATCAACACCAGTTGCTTTGTTGTTCTTCAGTCGACCGATCTCCTCCTCAACTTCTTGAAGATCAGGGGCCGGTAGCCTGTCGTCTTCTGCGCGTGCTCCAAGGTCTGTTGCCGTGCCACCTTCGTTTTCTGCTGCTTCACCGTTGAGGTGCTCGTCATAGTACTGCTTCCACCTCTCAATCACCTCACACTCGTTCGTGAGAAGGTTACCGTCCAAGTCCTTGCACATATCGGCTTGCGGCACGTAGCCTTTGCGCGAACTATTTAGCTTCTCGTAGAACTTAAGTGTGTCGTTTACGCGGTACAGATTTTCCATCGCCTCGCGATCTCGGTCTTCCTGCTGACGCTTCTTCCTTCGGAAAACCGAGTTTTGTCTGTTCCGCGGTTGTCTGTATCGCTCCACATTCAATCTCGTGCGGTGTTGCAGCATTCTCGCCCGGGCTGCATTCTTCTCCTCTACTAACAGTTTGCATTCGCCGTCAAACCAGTCATTTCTTCGGTCCGGGATTGCAGTACCTAGTGCCGCTGCAGCAGTACTACCTATGGCTGAACGGATGTCCCTCCAGCCATCTTCAAGAGAAGCTGCGCCAAGCTGCTCTTCCGTGGGTAGTGCAACTTCCAGTTGCTGCGCGTAGTCCTGGGCAACTCCGGTGTCCCGTAGTTGCTCAATGTTGGGTCGTGGCGTTCGACTTCGACGTGTGTTATGCACCGTCGAGAGTTTTGAGCGCATGCATACTGCAACTAGGTAGTGGTCCGAATCTATGTTCGCACTGCGGTACGTGCGGACGTTGATAATGTCGGAGAAGAATTTCCCGTCGATTAGAACGTGATCGATTTGGTTTTCTGTGTGTTGGTCAGGTGATCTCCAGGTGGCTTTGTGGATATCCTTGCGGGGGAAAAAGGTACTTCGAACTACCATTCCCCGGGAGGCTGCAAAGTTCACGCATCGTTGGCCGTTGTCGTTCGATACGGCATGCAGGCTGTTTGGTCCGATTGCCGGTCTATACATTGCCTCCCGTCCTACCTGAGCGTTCATGTCGCCGATGACGATTTTGACGTCCCGTTGCGAACAGCCGTCGTACACCTGCTCCAGCTGCGCATAGAACGCTTCTTTCTCGTCGTCGGGTCTCCCTTCGTGTGGCCAGTGCACGTTGATGATGCTGTAGTTGAAGAAACGGCCCTTAATCCTCAACTTGCACATCCTCGCGTTGATCGGCTGCCAACCAATCACGCGTTGGCGCATCTTACCCAGCACTACAAAGCCGGTTCCCAGCTCGTTGGTGGTGCCACAGCTCTGGTAGAAAGTAGCCGCTCGATGCCCGCTTTTCCATACCTTTTGTCCCGTCCAGCAAAGTTCCTGCAGTGGTACGACTTCGAAGTTGCGTGGTTGAAGTTCGTCATAGATTAACCTATCGCAACCCGGGAAGCCGAGCGATTTGCAGTTCCATGTTCCGAGTTTCCAATCGTAGTCCTTATTTCGTCGCGTAGGTCTGTGCCGATTGTTCCGATCCGTATTTCTTTCTTCGGTATTTGCAACTTTGTTTTTTTTTCCAGGGCGGCTTGTTGGGCCTGCCCCAACCCCCTGTCTCGCCGGGGGACCATCGTGCACAGCTCTGTTTAGAGTCCCACGCTGGCACTAGGATGGTGATCAGCCGCTCCTAACATGGAGAACAGACGCCGTTTTGAGCCGCACCTCCATGATGAACAGACACTCAGGTTTGGTGAAGCATTTCCTCTATCACCGTACTATGGTTACCGCGCCAGTGTTCGCGTCGCACCTCTTCACTTTGCTATTGCCGGACTGGCAACATTGCCCAGGCTACGCCAACCAGGTGTGTCCATGTTTCAGCTGGTAGTCTTTTGTTATCATATGACTCGAGGAGGCGTGAAGTAGGAACTGACCCAACCATGGGTAAAAAACCGCGCGGTGGCGTGAGTGCCGGCAAGCCCGGGAAACGGTCTAGGCCTGAAGACAACAGTGACAGTGCGACAGCCGCGAAAAAGTTGCTCGACAACAATCGGTTCTCCGTTCTGAAGGACGGTGCAGAACCGGTGACGGAAACAACAGGACCGGCGAAGAATGACAGAATGCCGCCTTTCTACGTGAAAGGCTTCCCTCCCGGACTGCGGGAAAAAATAAACTTCTTCATCACGCAGTGTAACTGTTCGTTTTTCCCGGCAAGTTCAGTAGCAAGAGACCCCTCGAGCTGGGTCTCAGGATCGGCTTACTACTTGATAATCACGAGGAACTTCGCGGACAAAATGTTCAGCGTACGGTCACCTGACTAGAAATACTGTGTAGTGTGAATTTATTGATTTAAAGAATTACTTTGACTTTGAGGGTTTTTATTTAACAAATTGGTGTGTTGGTGGGATTGGGTTAGATTTCTGTAGGCTATTTTTCTGTTTGTGGGTGTGGGTAAAATTAACTGTGTTCTTCGGTACGTATCACTGCTTATTCTGACGATATGGCGACGTCCTGCGAGCGCTCGCTACTGCTGCTGCCGCTACTGCTGCTGACGACGAGCTGGCAAGCTGATTCCCAAAACTGTGGGTAATTACCGTTTAACCGCACGATGGTTTGGCGGGGTTTGTCGATAGTGCGTGACTGTGTAAGCCTTTCAGGCGTCCTCCCTCGTTGACATAGATTGACACGGCCCAGGACGATACCAGAATGACCGTGTCAAGAGGGGGAATGCTCCTTTACGTTTAGGGGTTTCGCCCCCGAGCTTGAAAAGCCTCCTTACGGGCGACTGACCCAGAGGTTGGAATTGGTCCGTTGCGGTTAGACGTAGCAAACCGAGGTCTACTACGCCGAACCGTATGCACCTGGTCGAGCTTCTTACCAGGCATGGAAAATCATTTGCATTCATTTCGTATATTCATTTCGTACATTCATTTGAATTCATTTGCCTCTAACTTTTTTCA